GGTACAATGACTCAGTATATTCCTTCCATCTTCTTTTGATACCTCCTGGATCATTTAACATTCTGCCTAAAGCATCCTTGATTGTAGCAACTCGAGGTTTGAATTTGCTCTTCCATTCCTTGAGCTTAAGAAATGCTGAACGAGTTCGGCCCTTTTGATTTTCCGACTCTAGCTCCTTACACGTTTTGAAGGAAGAATATGCCAATATTTACTGTCATAATTACCCCTTAAATAAAGTGAACTAATTCAGTTCTTAATCTAACATATATATCTAGGTTTGGATATGTAAGGACAGTCTTAAATTATAGTGGTAGACAAGATACAGGCCCTTTACTCCCTGGAACTTAGATCATATATGTAAGGGCAAAGGTAAGAGAAAGCCCATCCAATTCCTCTTTTTAAAATGTATCATTTTCTTTATGTCTGTCAAGTAAGACAGTGAAATTGGAAAATGTAAAAGGTCGTTGGAAAATAGGAAAAGAAGATTTAGAAGGATTAGTTATTTAGGAGGAGGGGATAGGAAAATAAAAGTATACCGATTCTTCATACTTTCTGCTCCTAGTTCAACCAACATTTTAATGCAAACTTACATCACTGTACTATTTCACCCTGGGCTCAAAAGACTCAATTTCCAAAATTGTAAAAAAAAAAAAATGAGTGATGATGAAGAAAAATACCATGTCTTCTAGAATTCTTAGCGTAGAGCCTTCAACTGTATTAGAATCATAACCAGTTATTCTCTAGGTGTGATATCATTTTAATAGAGTTTGAAGTCATGTTTAAAATGATACAATTATATCTACAGTAATAACTCTATGTTCCTCATCACTATTGAACACCTTGCCATTGTCTGAGTAGATCACTGCCTTGCATCCAAACCTTCTTCTCTTGTATTCCTAAAAAATTGTGGTCTATTATTGGCCATGCCACTTCTCTTTGCTTCTCTTACCTCTTAAAATAAATTATATCTAACTTATTCTGATTCTCATCAGATAGAGAGATCACGCTTTATACTTTGCAGAGACTAATAATCAAAATGCAAAGCAGTTATTCCCAAACTGTTTAGAATGTGAAGATGGCCCAGCACTCATTGAGGTGAACATAGGGCCCTTCTAAATGTAGGACTATGCAACTGAAAAGGTTACACAGCTACAGAGTTGCTCCTACGGACACATCACTCTAAAAATCAGGCTGATCAGTTGTGGCCAGAATAAATTTAATCCATTGGTTAGAATATAGCAGTCCATCAATATGCTTTACGGGATCCCCATTTGAGTGCCACTGCTGAAATTAGGGAGCTCTGGTAGCATAGTGGTAAGGAGTTGTGCTGCTAACAGAAAGGCCCATGATTCAAATCCACTAAGAGAGAAAGATGAGCAATCACCTCAGATGACTTTTATTGCCTCTGAAAACTGGCTGGAGAGTCAACTATGAGTCAGTTCCAAGTCTATGATATGCAACAAACTCTAAATTTAAAGTCTTAATTTTTTTTTACCTGAAAAAGACAATACCCTAACAACTCAATGTGTCTCATTTTCTTCCTGTTCATATTTTCTTATGTATATTTCCTCATTAAAAAATGAGGGAAAAGTAAAAACTTTGTTCCTTTAAATATCTTTTCTCTTTTTTATTTCAGATTCATCCAAGAACCTAATAGAAGCATTTGTTGTTGTAGTAAAAGAAAATCAACCTTGCAGAAAATAATACATTTTAGGAATTCAAAACATCTTACACATTTACAAGCCAAATGGATTTCTTATTTGCACTTTGACTGGTTAGCAGATAAGCACAGAGCTTTACTATGTGTAACAGAACAACCTACAGTGAGAAGATGTGGAGTTACTGGCAGCACCATGGAAAGTGGGTTCACAAAAAAAGGTTTTTTCAGTGGAATTTTCTTGTGGTTACGAAGAACGATCTCCTAATTTGGATCTACAGTTACTTTGTACCATTTTAAATACATGTATATATAATATTTTGAAATATTATATATTCTCTTCAAGAAATGAACAGTACCACAGTTTGAGTGGCTGATGTACTTCTTTGCGTTTGGGGCTTTGTGTTTTTTTGTCATTTCTTTTTCTATCAGCAAGGAAGATAACGTGCCCTTTAGAGAATTCAACATGGCACCTACCCTGGAAGGCTGGCTACAGGTGGACTTCTGGAATTTGAGACATCATGACAAGAGCTTCTTTCTGTTTCTACTGGATGGTCCAAGGGAGTACATCACCCCGTTTTATTGCTTTCTACCTTGTGCAATATTAGCATGCAAGCTTGGCTTACATAACCATACTTTATATTCAATTGATATGTAATAACCATTCTAACCTCTTCCAGGAAAATAATTTTAGAACTACTAGCTTTTCCACAGATAAGAAAGTGAGTGTTTGTGAGGGAGCTGCTCAACCATGCTGTCAAGACTGGCAGAATTTTGTCAGAATATGGGTTCTTGTATTAATAATAAGCCCTGTAAATAAAATGTCTTAAGGCTTTGTATAGCTGTCCTATACTGCAGAAACATCCTCTGGTTCTATCCAAAGTCTGACATTGTTAACTGCATAGTGCTGTAGCTACAAGTCCTACCATGACACCCCTTTCTATGTTTGATTTACTTTCTCCAAGAGTATTCTGATCTCCTCTGGTGAGATAGGAGAGCTATGAAAGCAATTAGGTTTCAGAATGATCTGTGTGACCAAATGTTGAACAGCCCTATTAAAGTGGTAAATAACTTCTTTCTAAACCTGCTTGTTGTCTCATTTACCATTTTTTTTTTTTGCCAGCTCAGCTTTAACCCGTGCAGAGTACACCTCGCTGTGAGGTTTGCTGTCACCCAGCACACTTTCCAAGAGTCTCTTGCATCCTTCACAGCCACTACTAGCCACCCAATACTTCCAGAACCGGGAATTCATTACTAGACCTGCCGTGTGCTTGGTCACCAAGGTGGAATTTTTTATTTTAAGGGGGCATATAGAGAATTAACTTTATGCAGAAGGATCCAGACAAACATACAGAGTGAATAAAAATTAAAAGTGTAATTGTGATAGTGTTCAAAGCCAGCCTATGTAGTCATGACAGGCCATGCCAGCACCATCTTGCTAAGTAATTTGATTCTAAGAGAGATTTTGCTCCAACTCTAAGATTCTCAACTGATGAAACAAAATTAGCTATAGATGTGACACATTATCATCTTAAAAACTTTTCATTGTGACTTGAGTGAAAGTTTATAGAAAAAATTGACTTTCTCTTCAATTGTCCTTTTGAGGATTTATTTTAACTATGTTATTGAAAAATAGATTGTTGTTGTTCAAGCTGGAATTTTAAGCTTCATATTTTGGTCTCTACAGTAGTCCCTTGGAAGATACAAATGAGTTCACCCCCAAAAGAAATAAGGGTCCCTCTTCCCTTATTGGGAATTACTTGACTGATGTTTGTAGAAAAGAAATGTCTCCTTAGGTTCTTGTTTTCTGGAATAGGCCAAAAACATTCTGCATCCCTATCTATTTTCTTTCATTGAGGCAAGATTTCCGGTTTTCCTCCAAAGCCTTTTCTCTGGAATATGAAGCATTAACCTCTTATTAGATCAGCAACACAGCAGCCTCTTTGAACTATTTAATATGAAGCTTGAGACAAAAGGTTTCTTTATGGCTGCTACTATGGTACTATGGGTCTCTATAGCTGCTTGACTACATCAGCACTCTGACAAAAGATTGGTTCTACTATATCTCAAAGGCCTTGCAAAAGTGTACAAAGACAGAAATTGAATCCTTATTGTAAAATTTCAGACCAGGCTTTCCAAATGTAGTCACAATTATTGGTCAAAACATAGTACAAAATTTATCACGGCAAATCATAATCTCTTGAATTCACAGCCCAATAATAGACATCAAGTAATATTTTATGAATTACCTTTCATCTGTAAATGTTGGAGTAAAACAGAAATCATAAACCCAAAGAATTACCTAGATCAGGATATCTTCAAATGTGGAATATCAAGAGTTGTTATGGTAGGGAAGAGAAGCAGATGGTCAAATGTATTTGAGAAGCAAATTAAAGCAGAACTCTTTGATGAGGTACTTTTTCAGAGCTTCTCATAGACCAAAAAGTGAGAGACTAGTTCACATTCAGTACCAAGTCTCTATGTCAGTGCAAGAGGAGTGCAGGGGTTCACAATTGTTAGTCCATTTCTTGGCAATCAATGCACACAACAGTTTCTCTTAGAAAGACTTGAACAAAATAGCAAGGGGGAAGCACAGGTGCACACATACACACACACACATAAAAACACAAGACTCAGACTTGGATCCAATAAAAGAGTGCAAATATTGGCAAATGTAGTCAAACTCAAATTGGATCTATTCAAATGGTGTGAACCATCAAGTTGTGCTTAAATGTAAAGTGTGCTAGTATGGGGAATTCAGTAACTGCCATCTGCCTATTGATTCTCAACATTTATGGTATAACATCATCCATCTACTATTTCCAGCAATAAAGAGCTCAGTGTGATGTGATTGATACTGATTTTTGAGTTTGTGCATCAAGTAAGATGAATTCTGTTTTAACATTATAACAAGAAGTGAAAAAAATCATCCAGAGCCTCTCTCTAGATAGAGGAAAATATTGCTTATAGAATATAGAAAACTTTTGAGAGTTGAAAATTAATTTGTTGACATTCTTGTGCAATTGGATTTCTTTGTTCATGGACTAGGCAAGCACATTGAGAAGTTTATTATTTTTTTTCCATTACAGAATGATGAAGAAAATTTTCACACACAAGCAGTTCAAGACATTTTTTCATCAAACTAAATGTAACTTCCACTAAACAACAATGATTTTTACAGTGGAGGATATTGCGTCACCTTGCCATTGTCACTGATATAAGTTATGAGAGTATAAAAATTGTTTATGTGAGGAGATTCACAGCATTTTTCTCCTGCATGGGATATACACTCCTTTGTGGAAGGTTAAATATGCCATAATACAAGTTTCTCTTTAATTAAGCTTGACATCCCTATTTCAGAAATTTAGTAGAGTTTCTTGACAAAGAAGTGCCATGTCCTTCCCCCTCCCCCATGAATTATCACTTTCTAAAGAAAAGATTTATAGAAAATTCTAGGGCACAAGCCAACTCCAGCTAGGAGACCTGGTGGTGTAGCCCATTAACTATGCATCTGCTAACCAAAGGTGAGAGGTTCAAACCCAGCCAATATCTCTATCAGAAAAAGAGAGTACACTTGATCTATGTGAAGATTAAAGACAAGAAGCCCCTAAGAGGCATTTCTGCTCATCCACATGTGCTTGCTCTGAGTCAGACACAGCTGACTATTCCTGGTAATACAGAAATAAGAAATTTGGTAACTCAAGACTAGGGATGACAATGAAGGGATCTGATATCCTAATATTCAGAGGAATAACACCACAGCAATAAGACAGACTCATGTCCACATTTCACTGTAAATGAAACTATTTCATGATAATCTGATTTTCTACTGTTTAAAAGAATAACACCAAAATGGTAAAACAAACTGATAACCACATTTCTTTTCATTCACCACAACTTACCCCAAAATCACCTGCTGTTAAAGATTTAGAAACTTGAGTAGACTAGATTTTTATTTTCCTTGTAAAGTATCTCAGTGACATAGGATTCTGTGTTACCATAGGCTCTAATCACTGGTCTATGAGTGTTTTACTTTTTTAAATTATGTAGTTCAATTTTTTAAAAAAAAACTCGCTATCACTTGTTTACTTATTAGTTATTATTATTAATAAACTCATTATTACTAGTTAACATTGTCAGAAAAATCCACCAGAAGAACTCCAGAAAAAAAAATTGCCTCTACTTGACCAGGCGATGCTTTCTAAGTACTGGTTCATGCCGGTGATGGTTGCTCTGGTGACCTCATGGTAAGAAGCTGCACAGCAATCCCAAAGGCACACAGTTTGAATCTACCAGAACAAGAATGAACAGTCTCCTTCCATGAGATTTACTGATTCTGAAAGTCTGCTAGAGATGCAGTTGGTTCTGACTCAATGTTACCCAACAATAACGATGGTTTCTATGGGTTGAAGTTGACTTAAGGTTAAAAACCTTGGTTTATTTAGGTTGGCTGTAACTCAAGAGGAGACCTGGTGGTGTAGTATGTCTGAGGAATTGCTAAGCAAAAGGCTAACAGTTTGGATTCTCTGACTAGAGACAGAAAGTAGAAAGATGAGCAGTCTCTTCATGAAAAAGTTTACAGCCTCCAATTCGTAAAGGAGGGTCACTATGAGCTGGGATCGACTCTATGGCAGTAACTTGGGGTTCAGTTAAAACTCAAGAGTAGACTCACAAGTATGTGAGGAGGAAAAGTTCAAACTAGACTTTTTGTAAGACCGCCGTTAGTCCATAGTATGAGACAGTGTAGTTGTATATTGTGAGTTGGATTAAAAGTGGATGATTCTTAATAATATCTGTACCTGAGTTTTAAGGATTTATAATTGTTCCAAGTGTAGTTGTCAAACAAAACATTAAAAGAATACATTCCTTTAAGGTCCAGTCACATAAGTTGGTAAGGAGACCCTCTTGCTAGTGTCTGCACACACAGTGATGGAGGGAGCAATCCTGATACCCTGTAGATGCCAGAAGCCAGTGTTTAGTCCCAGTCTCCCAGCTTGTGGTTGCCAGGCAACCGTAGTGAGCCATGGTAGCCAGTTCTTTTGATTTAAGAAAACCCTGGAATTTAAATGTTTCTATTAAATCTCTAGCAAATGTTGGTAATCCATTAAAATTTTGTTAAAAAGTATAGCTGACTGAACTCTTTTGATTGTGTGACACCAATTTATGAATCTGGAAATGGTATTCTCCTCACAGATCTGCATTTTCATGTGATTGTTCTGGTGGTAGAAAATGTGAGGAATAGCCAACTAGCTTGCAAACAATGACACTGGGTCTACACAGAAATAGCAGGTAGCCTATCTCCCCAGAACCCCTCAGGAGGTGGTAGATACTACAATGGGTGTAATCTGTCCTGCACTGGACCCAT